TTTTTTTTTTTTTTTTTTTTTTTGAGATAGAGTCTTGCTCTGTCGCCCCAGTTAGAATGCAGTGGCATCATCATAGCTCACTGCAGCCTCAAACTCTGGGGGCTCAGGCAATCCTGCCTCAACCTCCCAAGTAGCTGGGATTATAGGCCTGTGCCACCATGCCCCAATAATTTTTTCTATTTTTAGTAGAGACATGGTCTCGCTCTTGCTGAGGCTGGTCTCCAGCTCCAAATCCTGAGCTCAAGCGATCCTCCTGCCTCAGCCTCCCAAAGTGTTAGGATTACAGGTCTGAGCCACCGTACCTGGCATGACATTTTTTTTCTTAAGAAATGGGGCCAGGTGCGGTGGCTCACACCTATAATCTTAGCACTTTGGGAGGCTGAGGCAGGAGGATTGGGTGAGGCCAGGAGTTTGAAGTTGCAGTGAGCTACGATGCCTCTGCACTCCAGACCAGGCAACAGAAGAAAAAAAGAGAGAGAGACAGAGTCTCATTCTGTCACCCAGGCTGGAGTGCAGTGGCATGATCACAGCTCACTGCAGCGTTGAACTCCTGGGCTCAAATGATCCTCCTACCTCAGCCTCACAAGTAGCTGGGACTACGGGCATACGACACCATGCCTGGCTATGCCTAAAGTTTTAAAAATATTTATGTAATAATCCAGAGGTCAAAGAAGAAATAATAATAGAGAAGTTAAAACACCTAGACTGAATGATAAAAAAAATCAGTGAAAACCCAAGTCTCAAAAATGAGACTTGGTAAAATACATGTAGCATGAAATGCTATATATACTATAAAAGAAACTGAAAATTTATGAGGCAAGTAGCCAAGTGAGAAATTGAGAACAAGAAAAGGAAGTGTACCAGCCCTGCTCTGAAATGGCCTCGCCACACCAAAGGGGAAGGAGCAGAAAGGACAAAAGAAAACCAAAAAGAATCCTCAATTCAATAAAAATACAATTCCTTAGCAAGCTCATTCCATGGGAAACACTCAAATTTGACCACTACAGACCACTACATCCTAACACAAAAATTAACTGCCAGGAGTTTAAGGGCTTATGTGAAATGCAGAACATGAAATATTTTAGAAGAAAATATAGAGTAAGTTTCTGATCTTAGGGAAGAGAAAGATATTTTCAAGACAAATACCAACTAAAATAATGAACTTCTGTTCCTGAAGCCACCAGAGAGGATGCCTGCGATTACAATGGCTCAGTAGAGAAAGTGTGGTGTGTGTATACAGAGGGAAAACAATGCAAATTTGGGCAAAAGAAAAAAAAATAAAAATGAGAAACCGGAACACTTGTGCACTGTTGGTGGGAATGTAAAATGGTGCCATCGCTGGAGCTAACAATACGGTGTTTCCTCAAAACATTAAAAATAGACCGGCCTGGTGGCTCGCGCCTGTGATCCCAGCACTTTGCAAGGCCGAGGCAGAAGGATCGCTTGAGCTCAGGAGTTCAAGACCAGCCTGAGCAAGAGCAAGACCCCATCTCCACAAAAAATCGAAAAACTAGCCGGGCATGGTGGTGCATGCCTGTAGTCCCAGCTACTCGGGAGGCTGAGGCAGGAGGATCGCTTGAGCCCAGGAGTTTGAGGCTGCTGTGAGCTGTGATGACGCCACGACACTCCAGCCTAGGCTACAAAGTGAGACTCTTGTCTCAAAGAAAAATAAATAAATAAATAAAAATGTAAAAACATAAAAATAGGATTACTATGCGATCTGGCAAGCCACTTCTTGGCACATACCCCTGACATTGAAAGCGGGCTCCTGAAGAGATGCTTGTGCGGCCACGTTCGTAGCAGCATCATTCGCAGTAGCTAAAATGTGGAGGAAACCCAAGTGTCCATCCGCAGACAGACGGATAAACAAAATGTGCTCCATCCGTACAACAAAATATTTATTCAGCCTCAAAAACGGGATTCGGTGGGGCTCGGGGCGCTTTGCCCCGTGGCTTCCTCGGCGGCTGAGAGCAGCCTGCAAGCAGGGGCGTGGTGACTTCCCGCCCTTGGCCTAGCGCTGGTGGCCCAGGACCCGTGCGCCTGGGGGCGGCTCAGGGCGGGCCCCGGCTGGCGTGTACGGCCAGGTCAGCATCCTCCCAGCCCCACAGCGCCCGCGCCACCCCCGCGACTTGGGCTGCCCTGTCTGCCTGGCAGCGCCTCTCTGGTCTCCGCTCTGAGGGGTGGGTGCAAAGCTTTGGACATACGGGACTGGCTTTCTCGCCCGAGAGCAACACACAGGCGCATCGAGTGACTTGAAGACATAACCGATACCAATACCAAACGGGTCACTGGCATTTTTGCACCAGCTTTTCCACCTTTCAGCTTCTTTTCCACTTTGTCAAGTTACTGGTTTTCAGCAAAAAAGAGTCTCCAGGTTTTAATAGTCTTAGCTTTGAAAAGCAGATTGAATGGAACTCAAGGGCAGTATCTACATGCCGTTCTTTGGTGGTTGGGATTTTTGGCCTGTACATGTTCTTATTTGGTGAGGCCACTATAGCTGATCCATTTTGGGGTGATCCATCACTTGGGAACGTGAATATTGCTATGCGCAGGCTGGAGTGCCGTGGCATCATCACAGCTCACTGCAGCCTCAAATTCCTGGGCTCAAGCGACCTCCTGCCTCAGCCTCCCAAGTAGCTGGGACTACAATGTGCACCACCACGCCTGGCTAATTTTTCTATTAAATTATGTTTCGATGCCCTATCATAAGTTGAAATTAAATTTTTATTCCAACTGTTTGATTTTGATATGTCACGGGCTAGCCCTATGTTAAGAATAATAATAGTTATGTTGTTACCATCCCTAACAGCGACTCTGATACGGTTTGGATAACCTGGGACTGTCTTAAAGGTCACTGCCTAGTTTACAGGCATTTGAATCAAATTCTTTTCTAAATTTTAATAATTTGCCTCAAATCAAATTTTTGCTAAAGTGTCAGTTTTTAAATGGTATTCTTTCTCTGAGGCGCACTGGGCACGTGGGAAAGAGTTCTTCCCTGGCATGAACAGCCCACTTTGCTGCTGGTGGCACTGTTTGTTATGCGCTCAGAAACATTCTTACTGAGGGGAAAGTATTGTAATGTGATTGTTTCCCTGCATCATGTTTCCCTGCGTTAGTTCTTTGGAACTAAACATGTTCCAAAAGATGCTATTAAAATGTTTAAAAATGGAATTCTAACACCTGCTACAACCTGGATGAAAGCTGAGGAAAGGCTGGGCACGGTGGCTCACGCCTGTAATCCCAGCACTCTGGTAGGCCGAGGCAGGAGGATCGCTTGAGCTCAGGAGTTGGAGACCAGTCTGAGCAAGAGCGAGACCCCGTCTCTACTAAAAATAGAAAGAAATTGGCCAAACAACTAAAAACAGAAAAATTTAGCCAGGCATGGTGGCGCATGCCTGTAGTCCCAGCTACCTGGGAGGCTGAGGCAGGAGGATCGCTTGAGCCCAGGAGTTTGAGGTTGCTGTGAGCTAGGCTGACGCCACGGCACTCTAGCCCAGGCAACAGAGCCAGACTCTGTCTCAAAAAAAAAAAAAAAAAAAAAAAAGCGAAAGCTGAGGACATTATGCTAAGCGAAATAAGCCCGTCATAAAAGAACAAATACTGGATACTTCCACCTATATGAGGTCCCTAAAGCAGTCAAATTCATAGAAATGGAAAACAGAAGGGTGGTTGCTACGGGCTGGGGGAGAGAGACAGGGAGTAGGTGTTTAGTGGGGACAGAGATTCAGTTTGGGAAGACGAAGCAGTTGTGGCGACGGATGGTGGTGACGGTTGCACAACAGTGTGAATGTACCTGATGCCACTGAGCACTTATAAATGGTTACGACGGTGAATTTTGTTTTGTCTATTTTACCACAATAAAAAAAAATGGAAAGGGGAAAAAAAGACGTATGAAAATGGGCAACAATGTGAACAGGCATTTCGCAGAAGAGGAAGTATGAATTGAGGATAGACAGGGAGAAGTGCTCAACTTCCCTGGTAATCAGAGACATGCACGTTAGAGCCACAGAAGGCATCGTCCCACCAGCCAGGCGCTGGAACGGCAAAAATCTAGCATTGTCCATGAATCCTGATTCACGTAAACCTCGCTGACCCCTGGTAGACTGGTGCGGTCACCACCTCATCTAGTTACTATCTGAGAGGTAGGGTGACAGGTGTCATATTACTATTTTGCTTTATAGTTGACATATACGTGTTCTGTGGCATATATCAAACATTATATAATTTTAAAAATGGAAAGGCAGGGAGAAACTGAAAAGGTAAAACTCATGGAGTCAGCAAGTTCACATGGGCTATGGTGAGGATTTTGGTCTTTCTCCCAAGACCCTTGGAGTCTGGTGCCAAGCAGAAAAGTGACATGATCCAAATTATGTTTCGAAAACAACATTCAAGAAATAAAGATAGGCCGGGCGCGGTGGCTCACGCCTATAATCCTAGCACTCTGGGAGGCCGAGGCGGGCGGATTGTTTGAGCTCAGGAGTTCGAAACCAGCCTGAGCAAGAGCGAGACCCCGTCTCTACTAAAAATAGAAAGAATTTAATCGGACAACTAAAAATATATAGAAAAAAATTAGCCGGGCATGGTGGCGCATGCCTGTAGTCCCAGCTACTTGGGAGGCTGAGGCAGAAGGATTGCTTGGGCCCAGGAGTTTGAGGTTGCTGTGAGCTAGGATGACGCAACGGCACTCTAGCCTGGGCAACACAGTGAGGCTCTGTCTCAAAAAAAAAAAAAAAAAATAAAGAAAGATGGTAAACTGAGAAAAATATTTGCAACTCCTATCACACACAAAGGCTAAATTCCTTACTATGTAAAGAGTGCCTACAAATCAATAAAAGGGCCAAAAAATCAGTAACAAAAACTGGGCAAAAGAAATAAACAGGTCTTTTCAAGAAAGGAAACACAATGGCTCTTCAATATATGAAAAGATGCTCAATCTCATTTATATTTCCACACATCGGATCACCCAAGACTTGAAAGTCTGAGGAAATATAGTTGGAGAGGATGTCTGAGAAATAGACACATTGATACTTTTCCTAAAGGGCAATTTGCAACATTACCAAAGCTACAAATGCACTTTCTTGCACAGGGACACATGCACAATGCTATTCCTACACAAGACAGTTGTACAGCAACCAACGTGGTTTCATGCAACGCTGTCTCATAGCAAAAGACCTAGATGTCCATAAATAGGGACCTGGTTAAATAATCATAGAACATTCATATAATGAATACTATGTAGCTGTTATAAAAAATAACACTGTAGTGTCAAGGAACCCACGACTTCCAACATTTATTGTTTCTAAGAAAAAAAGATAAAGTATAAAACCATATTTTGTGTGAATAAAAGAAAGTGGAGCTATAGGTTTCCTCTGGGGAGGAGAACGGTGAAGGAGGGTGATTTACATTCTATCCTTCTTGTACTTTATGAATTTCACATCATTTATCTATCCCCCAACAATTAAATCAGAATAGGTAAATATTAAACACCATGGCTGCTGGGTAGGGAACAGACTGGGGTGGAACAGAAATACCTGTGTGAAGAGCTATAGCCAAGTGTGTCCATCAAAGAGGGGACATCCTCTCTTCCCCAAAGCCCAACAGGGCACCCAGGTAGCAGGCAGTTGAGACTCAGGAGCCATTATGTCACTAATGGAGACTGCTCGGGCCCCAGGACCCCCCTCCATCATCTATTTGATACTATGTGCCCAATGGGCAAGCCAGTTAAGCTGCCCTGGTCAAATTACACAAGGGAGGGACAGTAGCAGTGGCTCCACGCTGGGGAACACACTTACCTGGCTCGAGGCCCAGCTCAAGGGTCTCCTCCCGCACCACCTGCACCAGCATGGCCAGCAGCAGGAAGAGGAAGGCGAAGGTCAGGCAGACGGAGCGCTCGCCCCCCTCCTCCGCGCTGAAGTACAGTCGGGTCACAGTCAGGAACACCTTGCTGGGGGCGGAGCTAAGGAGGCCTTGGGTGCTGGTGCCAACTGTCCCAGCCCACTCCACCACACCTATTCCACGACCCCCAGCTTCAGGCCACAAATATCCCTGCACAAATTGGCCTTGGGGGTGGCCTGGAGCAATTCCAGTTTCAGGTCCTGGGGCCCAGATCAGGGCGTGAGCTGGGGGTGCTTGTTCAGTGAGAAGTGGCCTCATCACACCACTTGTGGCCAATTAGGAATGGCCACCAAGTCTGTGCGGCTCCCCAACCCCTGGCCAGGTGACCCTGCCTCCTTGAGTCCCCTCACCTCCTGGCCGCATTCGTATACCTTGGGAAAGCTATCAGAGGTACAAGGGCTGCAGCTCCAAACCGCCCCCAAAAGTCACACAGGGCTTTTGAGAACCACTGTGGGTCTCAAGACAGTGTTCCCTTTCCAGAAGCCCACTCCACAGGAGTGGCATTCTTGCTGTACTTCCTTAGACTTGGGTCCCCAAAGTCATATTTGCCTCTGCTTTCTATGCTGCTTAATAAAAAATTTGCAGAGGGGGCATCTCTTTCAAACCGCCCCTGAGTCTGGCTGGCCTGGTGATTTGCTTTGACACAGAGAATGTGACAGATGGGGCAGGGGTGGGGGTGGGCCGACTTCAGGCAAGCCACTGCCTTTGCTTCCTGTGGTTTCTGCTGCCACCAAAGGGCAAGACCATGTGGAGCGGTGATGAGCCAGCCCAGCTGAGCCCAGCCAAGACTACCTACCCACAAAACTAGAGCACAAAAGACAGCTGCTTATGCCACTGAGCTTGGGGGAAGTTTGTGGCACAGCAGGGGAAAACTGCCACACCAGTGTAGAGGAAACCACGAAGCCTAGTTCCCCACGTGCCCTACCCAGGGAGCGGGAAGGAAGGATACATGGAGAAGGCCACAGCAAGCAGGCACCAGAACACGGCAATGTTGGTCTCCTTTGCTGGGCCCAGCACGTAGTAGTAGGCCTCTGTGAAGAGGTACACACCACCCGAGTACACGGCGAAGTCCACAAACCACTGGTACTCCAGGAAGAAGCGGAGGACTGCAGGAAGCACTCTACTGAGCCCCCGCTCAGCCAGCCCAGGCCTCTCCCTGGCCCAACCCCACTGAGGATGTGGTGACCTTCAAGGGCCCAGGGAGGGGAGTTTGGGGACCAGTGCTGGGCTGTTACCTAGAGCATCCACGGTTGTGAGGGGGCAGGTTTCCAGCTGGAATGGGGTGTCTCGGGGCACAGACAGTGGCTTCTCATCACTAAGGCCATTGACCCACCTGGGGGGATGGAGAAAAAGAAGGGGGCAGGTGAGAACGGCATCCTACAAGCACCTGGGAGGCTCTGCACACCAGGGTGTGGGTACCTCCCACCCACAGAGCAGCCCAGAGTACACTGCCTGTAAACATGAGATGCTAACTTGACAGTGACCATCTCTTCCGACTGGGGCCTCTCCGATTCACCTGTGCCCAGAGCAGTGCACGGAAGTAAGGGAGGGCAAGGAGCCCCTGGGCAGGAGCAAAGCTGTTCCCCGGGGAGGAGCTGTCCACCCAGGGCTGGGGCTGGGCCCAGCTCACTTACCGCTCCTTCCTGCCTCTGGGCCTCTGTTTCCCTGCCAGGGCCCGAAGCTCCTCCTCCGACGGGTGCTTGTACCGAAACAGACTGAGGGCAAAGCAAGGACAGGCAGTCAGGAAAGCTTGGGCACGGGGCACTGAGGCAGTGAGCACCGAACCCGGGGGCTTGGCTGGGCCAGGGGAAGCCCTGGGGAGGGGAGGTCTGGGACATCCCCGAATCTGCTGGCTGACTCCCGGGGAGACAGGGGTGTGCATTTTTCTAGGGAGAGAATTCAGTTTCCTCCAGCCTCTCATAAAGGAACAGAGACCGCCACATGGACAGAAACCAGAGCAGGGTTGGAGGGGTAATCTCTAGGCGGAGTAAGGGCGGAAGGCGGGAGAGGGGGCCTCGGGGCGTGGCTGTGGTACACAGGATCCAATGTGTGCTTCAGATAGATGCAGACTGCCGTACTTCAGTGACGCCTCAATAAAGTAGTTCCTCCAGCCCCAGCCCCAGCCCCAGCCCCAGCCCTAGCCGAAATAAAGGCTGCACAAGGCAGGGTGGGCGTGGCTCCTCCTGGCCCCTCCCATCCCGGGGCGGGGCTCACCTGCCGTTGCAGAGCAGCCAGCGCGCGAAGGAGCAGTGCGGCGCCAGCCTGTGCATGAGGGTGGCAGTGAGCAGGGTCACCACCAGCTGCACTCCGAGGACCGCCTGGGGGGAGGGGACATGATGGGCAGTGCCTGCCAGAGGGTCACAAGCTCCTTCCTCCGAACCCAGGCTATTTATAGAGAAGCCGGGCCAGATAGGGGAGGGCGAGCCTCTCTGGCTTCAGTGGCTTCTTAGGGAAGGGGTCCGGTGGGGAGCGAGGAGCACAGCCTCAACTCTGGGAGCCTCTGCTGAGGGCGGACCCCTCTCACCTGGCCCGGCTCTGCGCACGACCCCCACCCCCGCGCCGCCCACGTCAGAGGCCAGGCCCCCCCAACACCCAGCTGGGGCGTGGGAAGTGGAGCCCATAGGGTTCGCCCCCAGCCTCTGCTATGGATTTCCCGTATTCATCTACCCAGGCCTCGGCTTTCTCGTCTGGAAATGGGGGGCTCCCTATTCTGCTTCCAGTATTCGTCACCGCCACCTTCTAGCCCCGCGAGCCCCGCACACTGAGTGAGAGCCGCTCGTCTGCCGCAGCCTTCCGCACCAACGGCGTCTCGGTTGAGCTTCTGCCTTCACCCTGGTGGCTCCTTCCCCTAAGTCTGTGCCACCTTAAATGGTCCCCGATGGCTCCACCCCTACCCCCACCCCTGTAATCAACCTCCTTGCAAAGCCATCTCCGCTCCTGGGCACTACCCATTTCAGCATAAAGGCTGACGCCTTGGAGTGGAATGACTTATTTTATTTTTATTTTTTATTTATTTATTTTGAGACAGAGTCTCACACTCTTGCCCAGACTAGAGTGCCGACGGAGCGCTCGCCCCCCTCCTCCGCGCTGAAGT